TATATATATATATATATATATATATATATATATATATATATATATATATGTATGTATATATACATATATACATCACTGTGTTGCAAGCGACACTTGGACTCTCGAGAGCTTGCCGGAGTATACGCAGTTTCTGTACAATGCGATGCGTTATTGCATTATTTCTGACTAAAAACGAAAGGCAAGACAAGAATTGTGTAACACACGTACATTAAACTCTTATTTAAAAATCTTTCGTTTCCTTTCGTTATTTATACGTCCGCCGCTCACCAACACGGAATCAACACGAGGCTGTTGTTGGTCTGCTCAGTAGATTTGTATTTATTACTGCTTTTATAAATCATTACAAAATATGCGACGTTGCGAGAAAAGATGCTCGACAGTGTCCGTCTTCATTCGTTTCGTTTGTAACTGTAAGTACAAAGCATACATCAGAACCTGACGTTTCTCCGCAGCGCAAAACTACATGTCGAACCGTGTAGCGTTCGTTATATATTCTACTTTACATTTCATTGGACTTCTTGTTAAAAAATACTTGCACAGCTCGCGCAACAAATTCCGCGACGTTATCTTTAAATTAATACTTCATCATTTTCTATCACACGCAGCATCGCTACGTCGCTTCTCTTTTTATCATCTCCATAATACTGTCATTTGCACTCTCACAATCTTCACTCACTTCGCTCATAACCAATAACAGTCACATCACGCAATAAACGACTATCGCGCTTTACGTGATTGTATAATTGCGATAGGTGTTACCGTAATTTGTTTAAGTTTGTTTGCAAAATATAGTTGACTTGAACTTCTTCAGTTATCAAGTTATATTTCTTAGAGCCGGTTTTTCAATAGCAATTTAAACTTAGATTCAAGTTTAAACTCTATTCTAACAATACGTTTGTTTTGTTTAAACAGAGTTTAAGTTGAAATCTAAGTTTAAACTATCATTGAAAAACCGGTCCTTAAAGATCCTCAATGATGAAAAGTGAATAACGAAAAGTCAAGAATAAATATTAGATATGATAACAGTTATATATAATATGTCCACAGAAGTAACAAATAAATATCAACGCGCTATCACTTTATAACCTTCTTCATACTAGAGATTAATAATACCGGTCGGTATTACTAGAGAATAATTCTCTTCTTTCACGTATATAATAATATCTAGATATAATGAGTTTGCCGATAATGGCAAATCAAATTCGATTAAACGGAGTATACGTCGATGAGTAAGGCTATCTTCCATTCGTACAACACGAACAAGAAATAGACCTCGAATTGGAATATCTCGGTGGAATTACATCGTTGACACTGGAATGAAGACTACTTCGCTGCTTCGACGTCTCGCACTGGTTGTGAGTTGATTGCGGAGTGATTGTGGAGTTCTTCCAACTTCGATCGAAGAGCGTCCAGTTGTTCCTGCATCGGCGAGTAAAAGTCTTTGCTTCGCGCGAGAACGTCGGCCGCACTGTTCAACAATGTCGAATTGATGGGAGACGACGAGGGAATGTCGAGCGAAACCGAAGAAGTATTACTGCTATCACCGTATCCTTCGTCGATGCTCTCGTCGGCTACTTTGGTGGCTGACTTCGATTGGTCCTGCAAATTCTGCAAAGTTACAATAGCGTATCAGTCGAAAACTTCCTATTATATACTTTACATCACAGCTAGAATTACCTTTCTCGACAGAACCTGTTTCAAACATTCTCGTAAGTCATGCTCCGTTCGGCTTCTCTGCAAGATGAAGGAAAAAATTAGACGCAATCATGCTTTATCGATGTTTAAGAAACAAGATTTGCGATATTTTTATCTTTTCAAATACAAAGAAGTTTTCCTTATTCATATTTGATTGTATACTAATTTATCAATATCAGTTTTATCTTTAACCTTTACAATCTGACAAGCCACTATAGCAGTGTGGCAGTAATTTTGTAAGATACAACTACAACTCTTATTATTATTATTATCCATTTTTTCCATACAAATAAGTAAAAAATCAAGATTCGCGACATTTATATATTTTTTTTAATACGAAATTTTCCTTTATTTGTTTTATTGTATATCTATTTACGTTAATCAGCATAAAATGTGCATCGATATTACCACAGCGCTAAATTGACCGTGCATCCGCTTGCCGTAGAATTTCTGTTCTAGACTCCGCATCTTTGCCTTCTCTTCCCGAAGCTTCTTGAGCAGAGCACTGTTCGCCTTGTGCGACATAGTCCGCAAGCGCTTGTTCTCATTCGCGAGATCTTGCATGGCGTTCAGTCTCTCCTCGGATTCCGCGTTCTTCGTCTTCAGCAGCTTGTACTGCGCGATCATCTTGCTAAGCTGTGTCCTCAGATAAGAGATAGCGTCCTCCACTTGACTCTGCTCCTGCTTGGAGTCTAACAAAGAAGTTTGCAGTGTTTCGTTCTCGGTACGTAGCTTCTGTATCTCGAACTGCGTCTTCCTCAGCAGATCGGCGGTCTCGTTCTTTTCTGTCTCGCATCTCTGCATGTTTTCTTTCATAGACGAGATCAGGACGCGTTGTTTGCTGACCGCGCTTTCCATCGACATCTTGGCCACCTCGTTGCCCAAAAGCCGCTGCTCCAATATCTTCAGCTCGGCCTTGGTATTCCGCAACTCGTCCTCCGTCGCCTCCAGCATCATGGACACGTCCGTTGGACTACTAGTCGGACTAGAGTCCAGTGTATCCTGCGCCGCGCTGACGGACCGAATGTGTATCTGCAGATCCTTTATCGCGCTTTGCATCTGTCGCTTTTCCCTCTGATGCTGTTGCGCGAGCTCGGTATAGTCAGTGTTGAGCTGCTTGTAGCTGGCATTTATATCTGCTATCACATGCTGCCTCTGCTTCAGGATGTTCTGATAAGTTTCTATCTCCACCTGAAGACTCTTCTTGCTGGCCATCAGGATGTGCACCTGTGACTGATACCATTTCGCAGAGGTCTCCGCAGCAGACAGACGATTGATAGTGTCAGTCAAGGTGTTCTGTAGCTTCTGCTTCTCCTGTTGTATCGTTTGCATCTCAACAAACAGCTCTGTTATTTTGCCTTTTAAGCCTTGATTCGCGGCAATCCTGGCGTTAAAGTCGATCCGCACATTCTCCAGATCAACGCGCAACCGCTCGTTCTCCAGCTCCAGCAAGGCCACTCGTTTGGATAATTCAATGTTTGAGACATCGGGTGTGGACAGGTGTCGTAGATGGAATTCGTCGCTGATTAAATGGAGAGAATCTGTGGAAGTCACAGAGTCCAGCTCCCCTCGAAACGAATCCGACAAATTGTCCATCTCTGTGGTTTCTGTGTGTATTCAGTTGTGCAAAATCACCATAGCCATCCTGCAATGCACCAAATTAAAATAACAGTTGTCGCAATTTTTTTGAGGTATCTGAAGAAAAAAAATTTTTCTTAGAAGCCAGTTTTCAGGAATAATAACGAATCAATCGCAAATAATATAGTTAATAATAGTGCCAACACTTGCTGTTGACAGATGTCACCTGCATTATGTTACTTAATCGTAAATAAAAAATAAAGTAGAACAACGTACCTTTTTTGTAACCTTGTCGTCCTTAATTAGTTTCAAAAATAGCTCGTAAATTAGTTCATCACCTAACGATGTCGACAACTCGCAAGTGTTTATGATTAGCAACAACTAACGTAGACGTTGATTATTATCGCGATAGCATGACGCCATCTTGATTGTCTCCGGCTGCACCTTTTCACACGTTATACATTTCACAAAATTCCTCGCGAATTTTTATTTTTTAGTAGTATAATTCATCGTTAGATTAAAAAGATTTTAACCGCTTGTTAATAGAGATGACAGTTTATGCGAGCCGCTAATTAGATTATTTTACTGGAGAAAAAAATAGTTTGTCTGACTTGTTATTCAGTCGTACTATTTAAAAATAATGGTCTTTTTTCACCTGTCGTTCAGCAACATTATTTTATTGGACGATATAAATGCTGTTTATAGCACAGTGTCTATACTAAGGCTGCGTTCCGAAATTCACTGTCAGTACTGAAAATCTATAGTTCATGTTATGTATACACAGATGTCTATACTAAACTAGATTGCTAACAAGAGGCCTGTTCTTTATAGCTGCACTGCTGAACTAGTGCAATAAGTTAGAGTGAGAAAACTTATATTTGTTTCACTTCAATATATTGCACCAGTTCAGCAGTGCAGCTACAAAGAACAGGTCTAAGGTCTTCGAACGTATGTCACGTAAGGTTTCCGGTTGCATGCGAGAAAATGGCGGCGGTCCTGTGTGTGTGACGTGTCACTTGTGTGAGTACTTACACGTACAAGTGAGTCAGCGTGGCCATTAAATTACTGTCGTAAAACCAAAAATGCCAGCATCTTATTGCATAAAAAAATGTAACAAAAAAATTGATGGTATTGGACGTTATTTGCTCTGCTCATTTTCAACAAAAGAATGACTAAATGTAGTGAAAATGTGGCGATAGCGATCATTTTCTCGCATGCAGCGGAAACTATCAGACACAAGCCGTTGTGTTTTTAGATAGCCTGTTAGCAATCTAGTATAGACATCTGTGGGTATAATGAACAACTCTTGTTTTTGACTGATTTTTATTTATTATTTGTTTCTAAGTGTATAATTCATATATATGAGAAATAAATAATGTTAAATAAACAAACTTAATCTATTTCTCGTGTGGAATGATACTTTAGAGATAACAATTTGGGCATACACGCTATAACTAGTATAAGTAAGAAAGCTTAAAAAAAAAGTAAAGCGATTAATTATAATTTTCCGTATATACATACTGTTTGAGATGATGCGGTGAATCTAAAACAACACGTGCATCTCTGACAAAAGTCAGACGCATTTCATGTAGACGTACAGTTATTTCAGAACCATTTTGTTTGACAGAACACAAAATGCTTCTCTCTCGTCAATCTTTCGCAATTATAATTAAAACAAAGTAGAAATCACAGAACAAATTTGCTACAATATATACTTGAATTATAAATTATTACGGCGAACTGGCAGCTTCTTCTGTAGATCTGTACAAACAAGTAGAAATATGTCGAATTTCAGACTTGAGCTTATCTTGGGAAAACTACACAATCAAATCTATATGATGTACAGATTTAACAACTATGTGTATCTTTCTTTCAAATTCTAATTGAATTGAAATGTTTAACACACATTTACTTACTTATCAAGGTTACTTTTACTAGGAATATCACTCGAAGAACCTTGTACTGCCAGATCTAGGACAGCTTTCTGCGCTGCAAAATGAAACGAGCGTTTTTCAAAGAAAACGATAAAGCAGAATATCGGAACTTTGAATTTTTCACGTTTGAGTGCATATTATTTACCATGCGTATGCTGATACAATGCCGGCGACCAGCTATAGTTATTGGGACTAGGAACGGTGTCCGCTGTTACTGTCGTGTTTGCAGATGATGACGAAGTGCCTTCCTGTGTCAATGAAAGTGCAGTGGAACCTCCATTGGAAGTGCAAGCGTTACTCTTCACGTCGGAGGAAATATTTTTTCTAAATTTAAAGATAAAACGTAATAGAATTTGTTAAAGTTGCTGTATAAAGATAAAAAATAAAACAAAGCCTTTTTAATAGCTTTTCAATTTTTCCTACATTTGTTCTAATTGATTTATCTAGGATCTTGCCTCAATTTCACATTGCAGGTGGAAGTAGTGTCTTTCTGCGTTCCTGACAATATTTGAATAGCTTCGAGCAACTGATCCAATTCGAATGTCTTGCTGTTCTCATCATTCATTAAATTCAAGCTGGCAGATGAACACGGAGATGATTGCCGCCGAGACAGCAAGTGCTTCGACATGACTTTGTTGCTATCTAAAAGTACTAAAACGATATTTCCGTTACTTTTTCGTGATCGTGATGCTTAATTACAATTTAACTATAAATTTTAAAGATCGTATATCGTTTTATATCGTATCGATATTATAAGAACTACGTTTAAATCTACAGAAACATTAAGTTCTTATTTTAATTAAACTTAGTGTTTTTGCGAGAATTTAATGAGTAAATTTGCTTGAATTTTCCTAACGTTTACTTTCTCTCGTTTGCGTGCAGTTCAAATGCGCACGACTTAATTCGCAAACCTGCTTACCATTTGGCGCTATTAAATCGGACAATCTAGGCGACTCTACGTCATGGTTCGCATTATTAACTACTGGCAGTTTCGGCAAGTCTTTTTCGCAGTCTATCGAGTTAGAACGCGTTGCCGGTTCGGAGCGGGTCGTTTGATTGTTAGAAGGAGTTAACACAGCCAGCTTCGACTGGCAAGCGCTTGGCAGTTGGTTCAACAGTCGAGTCAATTCGGTAACCCGCCGTTTAGAATGGAAAGCACAGTTGGAGTGCCTGTCGGTAAAGCTTGGCTCGTTGCACGTATCGAGCTCATGATGCTTATGCGAGTACGCAGTGGTGGTAGGCACTACGTCGTTGCAATCAAACGGACTCGAACTATGACGCCGTAGACATGCGAGTGAGTTCCTCGAGTCACAGTTCTCATCCGCCTGTTGTCCGAGGCAGAGAGTCCACGAAGAAGTCGTGTTTTGCATCTCAAACAGGTTCAGCAACATTATCTCCCTGAGTCTGTATCGCAGAATACATATAGTTATGAAAATTCACTTATTTCTACCCTAAACTCAGTTAATGTAACTATAGTAAATACACCTGTTTGTATCCGTGACAGAATCTCTGTTTTGTTGCTTCATATGTTGCTTGTTTTGAGCCCAAGGTGTTAGAGATTCTGCAACTTCCACATCATTTTCTCCTAAAATTACATTTATCTTATCACAAAAGCGTCTTATTAATCCTATAACAGAGAGCAGAATTTTTTTATAAATTTTATTTATCTTCTATTAATTAAAGGACTATATGGATAAAAGTAGTCATAATTGAATAGTTACTCGACAAATCAAATCTTCTGATCATTATATCGAAAGATAATCTTCTAATACAAATTTTGAATGTGTTAAAACAATCGTAAGCAGAATAAAGTTATACTATCTACCTAAATAATATATCTAAAGCAAAATAGTCACGTGTAGTTTTGATATAATTTACATATTTAAGCCAATTAGATGGGAATAATTACACATTATCGATCATTTAGGTGTTCTTGTTAGTTACATAAGTAGAGGTATTCTTGTTCGAAATATTGCACAGTTCTGTTTTCCGAAAATTGAATTTCGTACGAATTTAGATATTAAGATGAGCAAAAGCTATGTAACATTTTATGGAATTGTATGAAAATTTGTTGAAACAATTCGTATGGAGTTTTCTTTCACGCATTCTTCAACTTGTTTTTTGTTCTTAAGTTTTTCGCTTTCCACGTCTTTAACGATCGTAATCTTTTGCACCTCTCGTTTGTCCCTGGATGATTCTCTGTTCGTACTAGCACCTAATTTTATAATTTCCCATATAAACGTATCCTGTAATCTTCACTAAACGTTCCTGTTTATAATTGCAAACTATATTATTAGAACATTAACCTATAATTACTGGAAATCTTTTCTTCTCTAAAACAATCATATTTACGTATATCTTAGGGTAGTCCCAACGTATATATACACGTGTATATATATTTCAGATATGACGTTGGCACATTACCTGACATCGTTTCATCGTCCACGTCGTTCTCGTCACTCGCTAGATCTAACAACGTGACATTGGTGTCATTATGCTCGCAATCGTCCATATAGATGTCATGTTCGCTCAACTCCTACACAAGCACAAACAAAATTATTCTTCGTGTAAAATAAATGTCTACGCGCAAATAGATTGATGTCTGTATCGTGAGAAACTTACACCACTGTCGCTGCTGCTGCTGCTACTGGACGAGAGATGTATTACTGGCGAAAATAAGAATGACGGCGTCGAATGAACATTGCCAGCAACCTGGCACTCGCCCGGCGACACGTCGTTCGCGCAACGCTGCGAAGCTTCGCCATCCGTGACACTCAGGTCATTCACCAGTCGATACTGTTTCACACCTGCCATCGACGACGACGTCGAAGCGCATAAAAGAGGATCACTGTTGTTGCCGCCATTGTTGTTAGACAATAAAGTTAACGGTTGTTGATTCAATACACTGGGCGATGAGTAGGGGGACGAAGGGACTGGATGAATTCCCGCAGCCTGGCATTCCCCGAGTGATACGTCGTTGGTGCGACGCGGAGTACCTTCGACCTCGACGATATTCAGATTGTTGGCACGATGTGACTTCAATGATGTCTTTGAGGGCAACGTCGTCGTGGAACCGAGAGAACGTATATTCGATATCTCGCCCAAATCGTACATCGATATCAAATGGTCGCTGCTATTGATACTATTACCAGGGAGCATAGTAGGTGTCGATCTAGACGGAGACGCATTTTATTGTGGCGGATTTTTCTTTTTGTAGGAGTGTAAGAGACTAAAGTTGATTTGGTTAATTGGTATCATGATAATATTACCTCGTTGACGTTCCACTTGAAGTGGCATATGTATCAATGGTCCGCGTAGTGTTTGAACTGGATGTCACATCATCCGAAACTTGTTGCTTAGACAAAGGTGATGCATTTGCAGTCGATCCGCTTGCTCTGGTGGCTGCCACGGCGTTACGGGAAATTTCTAGCGCTAATCTCTGTAAAAGGTAAAAGAATATTTATTTAAAAAATTAGTGGTACGACAAAAGTAGTTGTAAAATAAGAAATATCTTCTCAATAACTGACTTCTTTCAATTCATTGATTTGCGTGGCGTATTGATTTTGGACCGTCGTCAATTGGCTGATGTACCACTGCTGGTCTCTACAGCGTTGGTAAAATGTCGGTGGTCGTACCTGAAACCTGTTGATTCATTGTTATAAATTACATTCAATTCATAACTGTATAACTTGTAACTCATGTAACGTAATCTAAAAAAATTAAACTTCAATCGAGGTGCAGAAGATTCGCGTGAAGATGTACCTCAATATAAGAGTATCCAATTTTGTATTTAAGTAACCTTCCGTCGCAAGCAAATCTAGTCGGAAGAATCGGTTGTAGCCCCAACATTCACCGATCTCGAAGTCAGACGCGAATTCACGAACAATATTTTTACTCGTGTCGCGAGAACCTTGGTGGATCATTTCAACTCTGTATTCATATCTGCAAAAGTATTGAGTATTTTCAAAACAGACTTCCTTCGTCTTAAATGCATATTTGTAATATTCAGTATAATATACATCATGAAGATGTAATTATACAAGATGTTGTTTAAAGTTGTTTCTCATATACTTGGAAGTCTCTGGCAATCCAGCGCTGAGCTCCAAGAACACTGACAAGTAATTTCCACGTACAACTCCGTTGCCATCTGGGTACACCTTTAATCTCCAACACAACCCATTCACATGTAAAGGTGCAGAGTATACTGGGTCAGCTTTCAGTTGAAGCTGGGTGAAATTTTGCATGGCAAACGTCGCACTGTCGTAGCCTGGCACAATCTCGCTAAAATGGAAAAACGCATTGCGTGATATCGCATCAGCATATAGCAGTTATTCTCTTTAATATTAAGAGATTGTAATATAATCAAAATCCTCACACATACAATCAAACATCACATTAATTTGAACCATCTCACGTACCTGTGAAAGTCAGCGGGTACTGGAGCAGTAACGAAACTCGTCATCGGTTTCTTGCGAATTTGATGTATCTTTCGAGACAATTCTGAGCTTTTGACGATCAACTCGGAGTGCGTACAATTTTGCAACTGATATTCCACCTCTTGTAACAAAGCTTCCAACTGCTCGGTTTCTAAAGTCAATGAATTCTTCTGACCCATCAGAGTCAGCAGCTTAGCCTTCAGCTGGGAGTCCAGACGAGCTATCATCAATTCTATTGCGTTTCTGATCTCTCGGACTCTCTCGTCTTTCGCTGCTCTCACCGACTCGACGTTTCTCTCCTGATAAAGAACAAAACATAATTAAATTGTAAAGATAATACATTAGTATGTATACTTTTGCTGGTAAGAGGTGCAATGTAAGTAGGTTATAAAGAAAGTATGTAATAGAGTAAAGTTGAAAGCAGCTATATAGACATAAAGATAGAAGGTTAAATATTAAAAAGGTAAAGGTTAAATTAAATATATAAGGATATAAAAACTAAGACAAAGTAGGTATAGGTTAAGAGATAATATAAGGATAACTGTAGGGAGTAGGTGTGCAGATGAGTGAGTGAGATAGAAAAATTATAAGCTAAGTCCCTTTTTTGTGAGCTGAAGTAAATAAATAAATAAATATATATATATATATATATATATATATATATATATATATATATATATGTGTGTGTATACTCTTGCTATATATGTTAGATTTATTAAATTTACATACCACTTCCTGAACGAGACTTATCAGCTCTGTGAGTCGCCTATTCAATTGGCTTACTTCTGTCTTTATCTGAGTAACATGCTGCTCGTAAACCTCTTCTAATGGCTTGAAGGTATGTCCTGAATGGGTGCCACCCCACAGAGCACATTGATGGCAGATACACTTGCGACAAGGCCAACAGAATACTGATAACTTCTCATGATGTATTGTACATCTGTAACAATAGACATTTATATATTATAAATAAATACCAAGGTATACAGAAATATAAAAACAAGAATAAAAATACAAAAACATGGGTTGCATTCTGATATCTACTGCCAGTACTGTAAATCTATAAGACCAAGTTCCACAATATCTGTTTAATTTTAACTATCGGTTAAGTCGCAATAGTGATTGGTTAATTCTAATTAACTCTTCTTAATGTCAAATGCGATTGGTCAAGTCCAACAGAATAACCAGCCAGTTAACTGAAGGTTGTGGAACTAGGCCTAAGACATGTAATACAGACTATAAATTTTCAGTACTAACAGTAAATGCTGGAATACAGCCATGTAATGCTACACAAACCTGTCTCTGTTGGAATCATCGTGTCGAGAATTAGTTAAACCAACAGCTTGCAATGTATCGAGCTGTTGGGTCACTTCCTCGACCCAACGACAATTTACCAACTCGTGTAAGTGAAGTGAAGCTCTGCAGTGAGGACATTGAGAGCGTTGCTCAGTGAGCCATCTCCTAACGCAAATGTAGCAGCACAATTTACTGCAGTGTGGGCAGAGATGAGCATCTCTCAATTTTTCCATACAAATGAAACATCGGAAAACTTCCGCGAGTGTCTGCATTGAAAATAATCAGCTGATTAATTATAACGTTCAAAATTTTGTGTTAAAAAATTACAAAGATTCCATCCCTCTAGTCTCGGCTGCTATCGTTTGCATCTTCTTAAATGCAACAAATACAGTTGACACATGGCATGGAATTAAGAATTGTCGCTAACCTCAACACTGTGATCGTCCGCGGTTTTGGAAACGGATGGATCCCGGCTGGCCATTTTACTCGAGATACACGTTGCACGAAGGGATAATAACTGCTACTTATTAGAAATATCAATCTCTTCGGCGTGTATTCTCCGAAAAGCGTTCTGGCACATTCAAAACTAAATCATACACAGGACATGCAACACGTTCGTTTCGACATAATGCAGGACGCGATCTCGCTATGCATGGAATATTATATTTGTCGCCCGCGAAAGGGGGACATATGTTGTGTGAAAGAGTGGCCGCCTCACGTGCCGTTATCGTCGAGAATATTCGCGAAAACCGTTACCAATTCCTATACGCTTCGTAAACAGAGCTTGATACCGATACCATTCATTCCGACACTCATCCTCTACAAATTACCGCTATATTTCCAATGCCTATATACCATACTATAATGGCAGATGGCGTTGCAAATGCTTCGAAGAGTTTAATGCAGGGGTTGATTGTGTATCTCGAAACGGGAGTGAAAATTACAAGTGAGCAAATTCACTAGGTATTGACCAATGAAGTTACAAATATTCTAATAAATTTGTTCACTTTTGTCAATTTCATTTCGTTTTGAGATACACAATCGACCCCCTCGATTTACATTGCGTCCATAGAGCTTATACTAATGGAGTGGCCTTGCCTATGATCCGACAAAGGCGAAACTGTTCAAGAAGGATCAAGAGAGAGGAAGATATATTCTGCATATATGTAATACTATATTGCTAAATAAGAGAGAAGTCCGGCCTCAGACCACGGTGCGGAAATATATATTTCTTTTTCTTTCTGAGTGTATTATGAACGTTATGCGCATACAACAGATAGATCGTATCCGTCAATGGGAAAATAAAATAAATTGTACAAAGTTGCATGTAATAGGTTATATATACTATATGCTATAAACATGAACATTCGAAAATGCTATTTATGCGAAAAAAAAACAGCTGTTAAAAGAATAGCTTTCTGATGGAGAATTGAATTCTATATTAGAAAACTATGCTTCTATTGGATATCGGACATCGTACGTCGGACATCGGACGCGGTATGCGTCCTGCATAAAGAGCGAGAAAGATAGAAGAATGCGGTAGCGTTGGTAGCGTGCTTCTCGACACACTCAATAAGTTTTGATAGGTTTGTCGTGTCACATGCTCCAACGTGCTTCTACTCGTTTCAACGCACTCTGATTGGTCCGCGTGGTGACATGAACAAAACCTAATAAGTGAGAGTGAAAAAAAATATACTTATCCCACTTTAACTTATTGCACCAGTTCAGATTTTCAATACTTTAAATTACCAGAACTCATAAATTGAAGGAAGGAAGGAAGATTTTCAGTACCGGTAAAGGCCTTCACACATACTTTCCGTAACAGTAACTGTAAGACGTAACATAAGAATTGACCAATTACGATGGAGTATTCACAAAAATGGCGACCTTATGTTTCAACGATTCTCAATGTCTGATTGGTCAATTCTTACGTTACGTCTTAAGCTGGTGGCACATAGAAAAACTTAAGCAGTAAACGTAAGCAGTAAGCGAATCAGCCAACCACAGTCGTTGATTTTTGGACCGTAAGAAAAATCAACGACTGTGATTGGTCAATTTGCTTATTGCTTATGCTTATTGCTTAAGTTTTTCTGTGTGCCACAGCCCTTACGGTTACGGAAAGTGTGTGTGAAGGCCTTAATGAATATCGGAACGTAGTTTATGGCTGCGTTCCGTTTCACGCATATGCGCGCATTTATCTATAGTTCATGTTACAAATATTGTAGGCAATGCGCGCATAATGCGTGAAACGGAACGCAACCTATGACGCATGCGCGCTCTATTCTTGTCCTTCTGCTCACAACATCGACTTTATTTTTGCGTTGAAAGTGAAACACGGCGTTCTGTTTGTCCATGAGAGAATTTATATAAAGCAAAATGGCATTGTTCCGCACATTGCCGACAAAAATCGGCGTGACTTCGAAGATCCTCTCGCGGAGCGCTCCAGCTGTTTCTTATCACGCAAATGTAATTATATTTGATCAGATATTTATCGCTACTATCAGTTCTAACCTCTAAATACTACGAATCAGATTTCGCATGATGATTTTATCATTTGTCATTATAATATAGCACTCATACTTCCAATTGACGGTGTATTTAGCGTCAAATGTACAATATATGCCATAAATTCGATTTGATTCTTAATTTCGCTTCACCTTGATAACTGCGTAGTAATTTTATTAAATTATTTTATTTGACGGTAAATATCTGCTGCAAGTATAATTCTTGTGCTTGCGGAGGAAGTAGTCTATCAATATTTTATAAAGAACAGACATCTGCGAAAATTCGAGATATTTTGATAACTGCTACTTGATTGTAACGTAATATTGCGCAACTTACGCCAATCAATATGGATTGCATTAATATCACGTGATAAGTTATTTCAGTGTTTTTATTATGAAGAGAAAGGACATCAATGTATATAAAATTCAAAAATATATATTCCGATGTCAAGAACACGAATGTACAAATTAAATTAATTTTAATACTATACAATTATGTCTAATTATTATAATGTATAACAAATTTACTATATTATGTATTACTGTTTAAGCATAATTGACCTTTTTACAGGTAATAGATCACTATGAGAATCCTAGAAATGTTGGTTCATTGGACAAGAATGATGAACAAGTTGGCACAGGCCTTGTAGGAGCGCCAGCATGTGGAGATGTGATGAAACTCCAGATCAAAGTCGATAAAAATGGCAAAATAATTGATGCTAAATTTAAGACTTTTGGTTGTGGTTCTGCTATTGCTTCAAGTTCTCTAGCTACGGAATGGGTTAAGGGAAAGACAGTAAGACATCTTTTGAAATTAGGGACTATATATCGTTAACATCCTATGATATTATTATTATCTTATAATATATTAATATTAACCTGTAATATTAATATTAACCTGTAATATTAATATTACTGTTATTTCTAAAAAAGTGTCTTTATAAAAACTTGCAACTTCCATTGATTATTTCTAAAAAAGTGTCTTGCTTTATAAAAACTTGCAATTTTCATTGATATTATCGCTTAGGTGGATGAGGCGCTGGCACTGAAAAATACTGTTATTGCTGAAGAACTTCGTCTCCCACCAGTCAAGATGCACTGTTCAAGTAAGTACATATGATGCTAATTAGGATATCTTTTCAATCTGAATTAATAAGTTTTAATATGAAAACAAAGATATCAAGCCATTTGTATCACGATCTCTTATGATCTCAATGTGGTTTCTTTGCATATTTAGTGCTTGCCGAGGATGCAATTAAAGCTGCTCTGTCAGATTACCGTATTAAACAACAATCGAAGGATAAGGCCACCAACAGCGCGACTTAAAATCGACGGTTCGAATTACCGAACCATATGATAGTAACAAAAAAAGTAACAAATAGACATGCTATTTAGCTCAAAGATACTATCTATTCTTAAGGAATTATTGTATGATTACTATCATTGGAATTAGATCTAGCTGTGGGAATAACACATTTCTTAGGCTACATATATACATTAGCTTATTCTACGAAAAGATGACAAATTTACTAACATGGTATTATTCGTATCGCGCATAAATCTGTATCGCGTTATCTTGTTCAATGAAATATAATTTATTTAAGTAAGCTTTGTGTGTGAAAAAAATTTTAATGTTTTACGTGCAGTAAAACTTGTCGCGATAATATGCAGCGATTAACATCAATCTTTCATTGTAAAGTACATCGAATTCATTTATATGTCGTTTACCAAGAGAGATTGAAGAACCGTGAAATGTATTATTACGTCACGTGAACAGCGGCGTTAATGGCTGCGGCGATGATTGACTTACGCAAGAAATGGAGTGCATTGACGCTGTAGCTATCAATGGAGAACATTTTAGTACCACGGAAAGCCACGTGACGACCTGAGTAATTCGCAAAACGCGCTTTGCCAATGCGTGTGTTTTGCTGTCGACTGCAGCTACGACGGTTTTTATTTCCATTTACTGCTTTATCCTCGTGCTCTTAGAATTGTCCTTAATTTAACATTTTTTACGGTATGCGGAAACTTTGCTTTTTCGTCACGCAAACAATATTTAGCCCGTTCGTATTGCGAACATTGAGTGTATCTCCTTGCAATGAAAATACACTTGTCTCGTTCTACGAGCCGGTTTATCTTGTGCGATGTGATCGAGGTCGTTCTTTCTTTTTCTCTTTATGATTCAAGTTACGTTGATAAGCCGAAAGTCAAGTATCGCAGATTTGAATCAGTGCGACGGCGTACCCGATCTAATCGCGAATAATACACGGTGTACTTAATGATTTTACGAGGCGATACAACGATCTCCTGATTTCGCAATAGATAATCCATCTCGATAACAGCTGTCGATGCGGGAAAACCTGCATTTATTGTAAATTGTTTCTGAGAATAACGTGATCGCTGGCGTGAGCGTTGTAAAAAAAAAGCTTCGTCTACAAGAGAACGCTCACTCTCGCAGACTTCACGGAATTTCACGGACAATCCCAATTAATTAACTCTGGCGAATGATTCTCTTTCTTGCTCACAGTTCTGGATACTGAAATAAAAACTGGAATTTTTTTTAATCCCCGTATATTGAGGGGAGGGGAGCGGCTTCGATTAAATAAAAGCAGAAATCATATACTCCACTACAAATGCGTTTATTCTCTGTCGAATTAGTCAGATTGATCGATTGATTGCTTAAAAATTCCATTCTCTAATCGATGTCAGAGTCTCAAACGCGCGCGGTAAGACCATCGCGCGTTGATCAACGACTCGGTTTCGTTGTCTTATAATTGTCATCATAACACCAATTGATGCTTAATAAGAGCAAATTTATGATGATGGTTATGGAGCGTGCCGTATGCAATTGCGTATTTCCACTTGATTCACCAAGGGGAACGGTTAATTAGTTAAGTCATAGTGTCCTCACAAGAGACTGTATCTCTTGTCAACAGGCGACTCACCATCATGGTACCGTTTATCGGACTCGCGCTTATCGAGAGACTTTGTAGCGAACGTAGTCGACGAGGGAACATTTAATTTGGTGAGAGATTTAATCAAAAAGTTCATGTTGCACATAAAAATATATAGGGAATACTTATTGCACATATAGTATGTTTATATATAATATATAGATCTATAAATGTAACACGTATCTCTGTCTCATATTACGAGCCATTTATTTTTAGATCTGTTTTTATAGATAAAAGAATGGCGAGACCGAATGTGAAGCGCATGATCTAATTAATTAAGGAAGGGATGTATTATCGATGATGATCACCAAAGTCAGGTGAGAGTGATATGTTAATTATGTAATATTAGTTCACGATTAGCGCGAATACATTTTCAATTATCGGCTATTTTTGAGAAGATTTCATTTAACTTTGTAGATCTAGTATAGATAACACGGTGTTATTGTTTGAATATTTGTTACATATTATACCCGATAACAAATATAACAGAATGCTTTGATAAACTGTACTCTTCTTAATTAAACTTTACGCTAATAATTTGTTACAACTTAAAATTTAAACACTATCGACATCTTCAATAGTTGTTTTATTTTCTAGGTAATATTTCTGGTTAAGAAGTGCAGAGGTTTATCCGACATAAATATATCTTATTACAAATAAGGATAACTGAGATATTTGAAATTACGATAGTAAATTTAAATTAATATTCTTTTGAATAGTTTTATGACACATAATATTTTTTTCACTTTTTCACTGCAAGTTATCTATTTGTAATATGTGAATCATGTGACTAAAACACGATAACATTATCTCGATCATTTAAAATGTAGAGTTCGGTGCGCCGCGAACCTTCATACTCGAACGACGAAAACTACTAGATATTGTCATGAAATAATACGACGTTTCGAGAGACGTACAAATATGCCGGTAAATTTCTCGAAATCAATAGATAAGCATGGTGACTACTCACAATAAAACGTGATTATCTCTGCCATTTGCGGACCGACTGCCTTTAAATAGATAAACATATTGAGGCGTAGCTTACAATTTCTTTTCCTTCGGAACTCCGGCACATTTTACAGCGTGTCTCGCGTTTTCACCTGATTTCCTTTTCGAACTTACAGCAATTATCTGTCGAAGCGTAATGCTGACAAGGGGGCTACACCGAGCTCTCGTGTCCCGTTTGTTTCCTCGTTCGTGAAGTAGGACAGTTACCGCGATAAATATTAAATTCGCAGGCGTAACGATGACGAGTGCTACGGTGCGCGAAATTCAACACGTCTACCGCAAATTTTCCGTTCCACGTATCCAGTCCGTTCTGTTCTCCTCCTTCTCCTCTTTCTCCTCCTCCTCATTTTCGCAGCTTGGCAAGGTCAAGCGACTACGAAATCAGGTCCAGCTGTCGGAAACGCACATGTAGTAGTTCGGAGGCGAAGGCTACGAGGTTCTCTTGGCACACGTATCTGTGGATGTCCACTTATTGTTGGAAAAATAAAGTAATCGTTGTTTTTAATGATATCAAGAAGCGCCGAGATAAAAACGATAATGGGAAAAATAGGTTCTATTAACATTTAACGTTGGAAAATATCAGAAGCAAATACTTATTAAGTACAAAATGAAGAAAGAAATCACGACAAAGAGTTAAGAAAAAAATTGCACTATTTTCTTGGATTATCTCGAGTGTTTTTTCTTGGGTGAAGCCTGGGATACAATTCTTTCTACGTGACCTTAAACCATTTTAGACTCTACCGTGTAACTCTCTCTTTCTCTCGTGTCATTGCATTTTTCCTCGGAGCCGCGCGATATCTCCGCGCGTTTAGGTATTTAAAACGCCAAGCTCCATAAATGTATTTTGCAAGTGCGCCCGAAGATTGACGAAGCTCACTTTCTTCGTCATCGGGCGCGCGCTATCTTTATCTTCCCTCTCTTGAATTTTTCTTGCTCAAATAACTACCTTGTCTCCTGTCGTGTCCATAGCTAACGATATTTATCAGCAGCTGTAATTGATCGCAGAGAAAAGCGCTCGGTGAACGCTTTGCGCTCTGTTGCGCCGCCAACTATTGTACGGATTTTCTGTTGAACGACACTAAGCGCTTTACGTTTTTTCAACGTGTTTACGGAGCGGTCGTCATTTTTGATAGCATACTTTTGTTTGACTCCGCTCCGTAAATATTGGAAGAGCGTCAAGCGCTCGTTTAGCAGGATATCTTATAGCAATTGATAGCGTAGTGCAAAACGTTCATTGAGCACTTTACTGAACGCAACCATTATCGATAAACATTACTGTCGCTTGCGACAAAAACAGAATGTTAAACGCGTTATTTTCATGTATTTCATACATAATCGCGAGATATCGATTATTGTAAATTCGCAACGAGATATCGATACATCCGTCATCGATCTGTTCCTTCGATCCTCGGAGCGGCAAGGTTTGCTACATTCTGACGGAGTCAAAGTGACTAAATTGTCAAGGGAATATTATACTCGGGTTGCGCCCTTACTTTGCTAGAGTAGAAAAAGAAGCTGACAGAGAGAAAGAGAGAAACAGTCGTTTCTGTGGAAGAAAGAGAGACGAAGGAGGGAAAAGGCCGACAGGAGCGGCTGTCGAGTGCGCGTTCGTAGAGTGGGGATGCACCTATCGACGAGAGAGAGAAAGAGAACTAACCTCTCCCCACGCTCGCGCGCTAGAGGAAGCGTTTTGTACAGCTGTGTGCTTTTCATACTCAAGATGAAATACATACAAACGTGTCGTCAGGCGAAGAGAGAATGGAAAGAGAACAATTACGAGAGAATGCAAGGAGCGCAGGTAAAAAGATCAAACAGCTAAGACGCGCGAACAAAAGAGAGAGAGAAAGAGAGAGACAGAGTATACGATGTAATAACGACACGTAAAGGGTAGGGAGAGGAATATCGTGAGGAGGGGATGACGCTACGATACGAAAGAAAGAGAGATCCGACGCCCCTGCGTGACACACAGCTGATCAGTCGGCTTGCGACGCACGGACGTTCGCGGGTACGTAGGCGGTGGTGGTGCGCGGAATGACGGTGCTTTGACGACGGTGAGTTGGGGAGGTTCATGTGTGCGTATCGCTGTCGCTCCACGTTCTCTATGCGCCTCGACGACGGCGACGACGACGACGGGGACGACGAGGACGACGACGACGCAAACTTGTCTGGCGCGAGCGGACGGACGTCGGGTCGATTGACAATCCGACGGGGTCTATGACTGAAACGACAACGGCGAAGAACGAAGGTCGAAGCCGAGGAGAACGAAGGTGGAAGTTCGACGAACGACTCGGGCTTACGGCGAGGAGCCACCTCCTGCGGAGTCGATTTCGCGAGCATTGACGCGTATCCCGTCAGGCCGCCGTCATCCTCGCGGCATACACAGCCTTAAACATAATTGGAGGCACGCACGGGCGTGCGCGCCAAGTGATAAGGAGGGTGTCCTAAAAGAGGTAGGTATTGATATAATACAAATAAATGGAAGGACAAAAAAGACGGAAGGGAAAGGCGACGTGGCTGTTGTTTCTTTTCCCTCCTTCCTTCGTTCCTTCTCTCTTGTCTCTCTCTTTCTGTTTTTCTTTCTCTTTCGCGCGCGTCTGTCACGCGCATCGTCTCATTTTTATTCATCCATTTACATTTTTTTTCTCTTTTTTTCTCGCTACCGTTCACTCACATCACATCTATGTATGCATATTTATATATAGATATATATATATATCCTGCGACCACACGATTAGCCCCGACGTTTTTATCCGCCAGCAGTGTACACAACCTGCATGTGTGGTGTGTATGGTTGTGCGCGCAGTGAGCCGTGAATAAAGGTCGATGACGATGCAACGAGTTCAAGATCAGGACAATGGGATCAGCATCAAGTTCGGTCCGGGCAAACCCCGGAAGGGCAACTACAAGCTGGTGTCGCAGAACTCCGTCAACGAAGGCGGCTTCAACGGGACCAATAAGCTAGGTGAGCAACGTCACTACGATGGTTATTTAAAACGCGCCTGGAACAGGCGGATCGTTCGCTTCCTCTCCCGCGAAGATCTTCCCCTTCCGAGAAAATCGGCAATCACAACTCTTTGACGTTCGACCAACGAATTTGAAAGTAACATCTTAATCCTGAAAGTGACATCAGCATTGTTAAATTTTGCCACTATTGCTTGGGAAACAACACGCTATTGCCTTTCGTAACTGAGACGTAACGAGAGTCACGGGTGTAATGATTTTTTTTATCTCGACGCTCCAGTCTGATGTTATTGGTGATCTCGACGCGGTTCAAAGGCATGTTGTTGTTCCGCTTGGGCATATGCGTGTTTCTCACAATTTTTTTTGTAGATAAACCTCGATTTCGCTTAACGATGACTGTTGTTTTCCTCGATTTTGTATTATGCAAGGTACACATATTATATATTATTAAATTACGTATATTATACGATAGTAAAGGCGGCCTTTGAATTTCATATACCAAGAGGTGAATGCGGAGCAGTGTAATGTTCCACGTGAATCATTTTCGTCCTCGTGAATTACCGATTCGATCGCCAAAATTATGACATATTCTTGCCGCGCGTCGTTAGGAACTCATCTCGGTCTTGCGATCTTGCAATTCTCGTGGCGTATATATATGTAGATATAGATTTTTTTCTTACAGGTGGATTCATAATCTCTTCATTGTCTTTTTTCATTTTTATACCGCTTCATCTTTCGTTCCTAATAATTGACCGTTATAGACCGGTCTTTTATAAATAGAAGGGCCAAATGAAAAATTGGCGTGCGAGCCAAGAGGTAAATTGAGTAAATGTAAAACAGCGATCACAAAATGCTTCGTACGGTGCCAACGTTTGTCGCTACAACATCCTCCGTTAGCTCGTCCTCCTCATTGGTTCAGACATAACGTACCTATCGACAATTTCATTATGTGCACGCCCGAGAAAACTTCTCATCGTTGACAATCGTTCTTAGACGACGAAACGCATCGAATACACGGAGAGTCCCATCGGGAAGGCTGCTATATTTACTTAGTTTCGAAAAAGAAATTTTCATTCTGTTTCTCTTGAGACACACAACGATATTTTAAACTTTCATATTGTATGGCAGTTTCCAAGGAGAGGAATCGAAGCGATCTTTTCCTCGGAGAAGCAAGAAGAAAAGAATCTCGAGGACACAGGAGTAGAATATTCCGCTTAAAAGGAGTCCGATTACGCTAATTGGATTCTTGTCGACTCCTCTTGAAGCGTCTATTATTCGAGCGTCCGCATAAAAGCAAGTCAGCCGATACGTTATAACGGATATGACTTCCGCGTGTGAACTGGTCAGCATTGGTGTTACAATGTCGCATATTAATGAATGTTGCTTTTTGTTCGTGACGCGAGAAATTGAAACATTTTTTTGTTTGCACGTAAACAAAGTTCCTATTTTATTCTTTCCTTTTTTAACATACATCGGCATTTTTTGTATTACGTTCTATGCGCTTATTACACATTATTTTAACAATTGTCCACCTGTTCACAGTGTCGTTGAACAAGTTTCATTTCTCCTCACTCGTAAGTCAATACGAGAGGAGGAAGCTAGTATCATTCACGATCCATTAACATATCAATTTTCATGTTCTTATCGTCGGAACAGGTTTCTACAAAGCACACATTGAGAGAAGATTAGTTATCATTTGATCATTGTTTGACTAATTGCTATCGTTTGCTCAGTTCGCGAACTGTTTACACAGGAATTACTAATGTGCAAACTGTTGTTCATTTTCCCGTATTCCGTTTACAAATGAAACAACTATCGGCAGGAAATTCGTCAGAAGAACATACGAATTTCTACGCCCTCGTGATTCTCTTCGCTAATCTTGCCAAGATCTTCGAATATTCCACTATAAATCATAAAGTTTATACAAAAGAAATTGTTCGTTCTTCTCTGATATAAAATGTAAAGAGATACAAAGTCTAAAGTGCTAAGCTTTCGTTTGCATTTACAGAGAAAGATGCGAAGGAAGAAGAACAATTAGTCCCACCGGACGGCGGCTGGGGATGGCTGGTGCTCCTGGCCTCCGTTATGGTCAATCTCCTTATTCCAGGCACCGTCAAGTCTTTCGGAGTGCTGTTCGTCGAATTCCTCGAAGTATTCAATGCGTCACCGGCGGCAGCTGCATGGATACCAGCGCTTTGTTATTTCCTGTACAGCTCACTGGGTAAGAACTCAAATCTTTCCATTTGATATCGTTTCCTCTATTGAATCCAGGATCAAGCAGGTTCTCTCTTTGTTTTAGGTCCACTCTCTAGTGTACTTTCTGTCAAGTTTTCTTATCGCACAGTGACTCTGTTAGGAGGAACATTCGCCGCGGCGGGGATGATGCTGAGCTATTTCGCTAACTCTGTGGCCTTCTTATGCGTTAGGTAATTTGATTTTTTTTTCTTTAAAACCGTGCTTGGCTAGATTGGCATATGTAGAGAATATCTTCAAAAAATCGGTGTCGCAATTTCGATTATGAATAAATGAATAAAAATTAAATGAAACTTCTCTCTTCCGGAGTCTTCTACAATTTCTGCCAATTTATCATAAAATATGTACAAAATAAATTATTCTTCTCTAATATAAAATCTAAAACACTTTTGTTTGATTAGTAAAATTTCTTCCTTCCAGGACACAAATTCGTATTCGTCGACGTATTTAAATATATTTCAAAATATTTGTTGCACAATTCGTTGCTATTATGCAACGAATATACGTGAACATTTTTACGTAATTATCTCTTTGCTTCTAGTTATGGTGTACTGGTGGGTACGGGAGCAGGACTGGCGTTTCCTCCGACTGTATATATCGTGACATCTTATTTTGTACGGCTACGAGGACTCGCCAACGGACTCTGTATATCCGGCAGCGCGCTAGGCTCGATATTTCTTCCGCCTGTTCTCGGTTTTCTGCTGAGAGAGTACGGTTACAGGTAGGCTCATCGTGGTTAAAAAATGCTAGTTAATTTCTAGCTGCAGCCAGATGCGGGCTGATAAATATTCGTGAGTTATCAGGCTACACTGTTACGGAGCATGATACGACCGATTATCTTTCGTTTGTTCGTTTTCAGAGGCGCGGTATTGATTATGGGCGCCGTTACGTTGAATGTTTGGGCGAGCGCGCTCTTGTACCATCCAGTGGAATGGCACATGGTACCAGCACGGCCATCAGCTGACTGTAATGAACCCGATAACGGGGAGACCATGTCGGCGACCGTCACCAGTAGTCCCGAGCAAACAGAAAACGGTAATCACCAGTTACTGTCGTCCAATCAGTCCAACGAAAAAGCCGCGCCGATCGTGCCGAAAAGCGCATCGAGCGTCGCCTTGGAATACTACAAGAATACACCGGTACAGGGTCGCACAAGAAAGATCAGCATGCCCACTGGGCGCGAGATCAGCGGCCAAATGCATAGCACACCGACGTTGCACACCGTACCGGAACGTGGAAGTGTCCTCGATGGCAGCGCCAAGTACTCCAAGGCGCGTTCGCCGCTGCAATCGCCTAGCACGTCGTCCTTCAACTACGTCAGCACACCGTATCACGGCAGCACGTTATCAGCACTGCACCCGGAACGCGCGTCCACGCTGACGCTAAATGCGATCTCCAACACATTCTCCCGGAAAACGACTGAACGTCGTAACAAGGAAGACAACGAAGACCACAACCGGAACAAGTTCTTCGACTTCAGTCTACTCAAGGATCCCATCTACCTCGTCATCCTCATTTCCAATTCCACCAACGCCGTCAGCTACACCAATTTCGTTATACTACTGCCGGCCTACGCCATCTCTCTGGGTTTCGATAAAAGTTCTGCGTCTTTGTTATTGTCCATTGTGTCTATGTTAGACCTAGTGGGTCGTATCGGTGGCTCTGCCCTCTCTGACATCAAGATCATGCCCAAACACTGGTACTTTGTTGGTGGTTTACTAGCCTCCGGCATTTCCTTGGCTATTCTGCCCACTTCTAACACGTACACCATGCTCTCCGTCTACTGCGGCTTCTTCGGATTAGCGTCTGGGATCTACGTCGGCATCACTGCGGTCATCATGGCCGACATGCTGGGCACTGAGAAGCTCACTTCGTCCTACGGCATTTCGTTATTCGTCAATGGCGTTATTCAGCTGGTGGGGCCGCCAATTTGCGGCCTAGTATTCGAGCAGATCGGCAGCTACGGCCCGATTTTCAGTATACTCGGCATTATCCTAGTGGTGGGCGCGTCTCTGTGGGGCACCGTGCCGTTTATCCGAAAGAGGCAAGCGGCGTTGGAGAAGTCCGCCAAGATAGACAAAGTATAGTAGACCAAATATAAACGAAGCACAGTATAGCCGTAATAAATGACTGCTCGACACACGGCACTTGGCGCACATGAGCTTAACTACATGGTGACTTGAATGTCATCATGCTGATGATGTGTATGCATATGTACGTGCGTGTGTGAGATGAAGAATAGAAAGAAAGATGTCCGAAATTAAACTGTGATGTTAACGTGAGTGTTACATATACTGAAAACGACAGCAGAGTTTTCGGACTGAGCGAGTTGAGCGAGCAACAAAATGAGACTTTGAACTCTGAAACGTCGATAATTATTCGGACATTCAACTCAGTAGTCGCTCAGTTCTAAAACTTGTCTCGCAAATCGTCTATGATTAGCGTGATCGAGCGTTGAATGATTATTAACCGTAGCAATTACATTTATATCGCCAAACAAAATGATAAATGTGACAAAATTTTCTTATATTGAGCACTCTTGTACCAATCGTCTTGAGTAATTGTAAATTACGACTGTATTTATGTGACTTGTAATTGTATTTGAAGGAAAATTGAACTTTCATTTCCTTCTACAGCATTAGTATGTATTTTTTTTAGTTGTATTTATTGGTGAAAATCACTAAGCGTGATTGTTATCACGTTTATCGATAACTTCCGTTACTATTGCATGCATAGAGTGGGATAATTCTATCATTTACGATCTTATTGTTATATAAAACGAAACGCTGCATATGTATTTTCATAGCTTCACAAAAGGAATATAAGATAATTAACGAGGGAACACCGTGAATCCGAACTCTTTGATTTTGATACACTTTTGTGAGTATGTAGAGTAAATCAATATATGAATAACGGTATATTCCATTTGTACCCTATCGCTATTTAAAAATATGATATGCACTCTTAAAGTAAAAAGGACGACTCCACTTTTTCGTATATTATTCTTAAATTAAAGGAGATAGAAAAAAATTTTTCGAATAAAAGTTTAATGGTAAGTTAAGTGATGTAAATTGACATAAGTATAAATAAAAAAATACCTATAAAAAATTTTTTTACAATAGAAAAAGATATTTTTTATTTATACTTATGTCAATTTACTTAACTTACCATTAAACTTTTATTTGAAAAATTTTTTTCTATCTCCTTTAATTTAAGAGTAATACACGAGAAAGTAGAGTCGTCCTTTTTATTTTGAGAGTGTATATCATACCTTTAAATAGCGATAGGGCACAAATGGAATATACTGTTATTCATATATAGATTTACTCTACATACTCACAAAAGTGTATCAAACTGAAAGAGTTCGAGTTCGCGGTGTTTCCTTGTAAGATAAATAGCTTCATTTTCATGCAAAGGCGATGTGATGTCGCAAAGTGCAATCTAGTATTATCATACACACGTATATTATCACTTTATGTGCCAGATTTTATTTTTTTATGTATTGCTGTATTAATAACAGCAGTATTTTTTACATCTGAGAGACCCCATGGTATATTCTGAATTAAAACGGGATTGAGATGTGAACGATACGAGAATGAGATGCATTTAATGTAAGTCTGTGTACTTAGGGCGATAAAAATAGGAGTACTTAAAACTGGGAGTACTTAAGAAAATAAAATTTTAAGTTGTGCACAGATACTTAAAGTTCCTTCCGCATATCTTTAAGGCTGAAGCTCTTAAAAGATGCGTAGATGGTTTTATCGTCTTTTGGGAAGTGTATGAAATATAAATGCAACGATTCACTTTATGTTACTAGAAACCGAGAAATTTCGGCTACTAAAGTCATCTTCATTTTGTGTCGACGATCTTAGATACACATGATTATCGATTTCATCACATTTATCACGATGTATACGCTATTAAAATCGACGTCAAGGATGCTCCGATGTGTGCATCCTCATGCGTTGTGAGATACATTGTAATACATTTTCGATAAGAGCGGATTATTTAGAGAAATCATTTTCGAGATAACTTTTTTAGAAACTGAATGTCATGGAGGCTTCTTGCCTCGGAAACCGTAAAAAAAAAGTAAAATCTCCTGCCTTATATATTAGATGAAAGAAAATTATCCTCTCTGAAAGTAACATTTTCCCATCGATACAAAAATGATATATTCTAGTTTTACTCGAATACTTGGCGACAAGTAAAACAGCGATGCTAGTTGCTCTGGGAAAAGCAACTACGGCATAATTTAGCACACGTACCAATTTCGTCTCTGATAAGTTTAGAATAAAGTAAATCTATGCATTAAATTGAATTGTACGTAAATATGATCATGATGCTGGAGTGATTGGAAATAGGCCCCATCTACCAGAAAACCATTATCTCATTTACCAAAAATGAAAATACGCATCGCGCCTTTCGACAGAGGCTGTCTTTTCCTCGCAATATATGCACGAAAATATTAAATAAAAGTAATCTATATGAAGTGTAAGACTTGTAGTTGTACGAAGAAGAAAAAAAATGATATATCCGGCGAGATGTAGGCTTTAGCCGTTCTAGTGTTAACGTCGTGCTCTGGCGCTCGGAAGAGATTTAATCAGTTCGCTTGCCAATCGAGCTCTTTCGAAATCCGTCGGATATAATGCCTTATGAGTACATTATAAATAGTTCTTAAGTAATATATAGATATATATAATATATATTATGTTTATAACTCTATACAAATACATAAAATAGAAAAAAAAATATTACAGATGAGTCTTTTGATATTTTCCTATCAAGTCCTTACATACTTAACTGGTTAAATAAAAAAAATTTCTCCTTTATTTTATTATATATATATTATATATATTTATACTGTGTAATGGACATATACTTTACACTTACTTTTTTGGACTATAATTATGATCTAAGTAGACGTGGTTACTTTTCTTTTGAAACAGGCTCAGCAGCTTCTGGAGCATCTCTGAAGTTGGGGAATTGTTCCCACGGTGCCGCTAATTCAAACTTACGGAATTCCTGGGTCAACTCAAGTGGCTCAACTACTATTCTCTTATGTTCGTCGTCGTATCGCACCTACAACGAGAAAATCAACTGTTGGAGAAATTGGAAGAAAAGATTTATTATGTCCCGCATTTATTATGACCACATTTCTTTACGATAATTAAAGAAGTCAGTTTAATTGAATAATCACCTCGACATAACCACTGAGTGGAAAATCTTTTCTCAGTGGATGACCTTCAAAGCCGTAATCTGTCAGAATCCTACGGAGATCAGGATGATTTGAGAAAAACACACCAAACATATCCCATACTTCTCGTTCATACCAATCAGCAACTTTAAATACGCTGTAAATGGATTCAATAGGTGTCAATTCATCAGTATAAGTTTTAACTCTGATACGTGAGTTGTACCGCAATGACAGTAGATTGTAAACAATCTGTAATAATAAACATGCTTCATTTATACTCAAAACTCAACAGTGTTTTGATTTATATCGAATATATGTAAGTACCTCAAATCTGAATTCTCTACTGGGTACATCTAATGCAGTGATATCTGACAGATTGACAAATTGTGTATTATGATGATTCTTCAAAAATGTAAATGTAGGAATAATCCCATCAGGGACAATGTGCAATTCCAGCTCATCGCCAGCAGTCAACTGAATTTGCTGTATGTACTTTGGCAAACAATCAGCAATGTAATGACCAAAATTTGTCAAATGTTCAACATCAACATGACTTGATTTGCGTACCGTAGCTGTAACAACATTAAAATAAGTGAGGATTTTAATTATGTTGTTCTGTATGTTGCTATGTATATATAGAAAAGAAGATTATTTCTTTCTTTTTAAGAAAGTTATTTAGAACAAAATTTAGAAATATTCTAATATTTTCCTAGTAAACTCTATCAGACAGGATACATAAAGTTTATTTCAGGTTTTCAATCCAGTGTTTCACGAAGTTACATTTTTCGAACAAAAAATTATTCTACATACGACGAGATTCCGTTTTTCTCGTTTCCTCACTAGTGGTAGTCGTAGTGGTGTTCCATCGCACCGACGACGGAGAAGTGATGGCATAACCTATCAGGCAAACATATAGGTTATTACATAATTTGGTAAAAACGTCGTACATGCGAGAAAAATCTCATTACGTTTTGAAGTGGCGATTGACAAATTCCGCGACAATTTCCAACAATTCCTCAATATTGACGTCATTTTACTGCACAATATTCACACTGTTAAAATATAACCACAAACATATCAGAGCATATTTTACACTGGCCTATTGAGTGCCGACACTGTGTCCATCTAACGTTCACGTACAATACTACTTATTTGTAAAACAGGAATGTCTTATCGGTAAAAGTAGAATGGTAAAAATATTCACTGAACATTGTAGAATAAATAATGAATCTTAGATTAAATCGTCTGAATCGAGTTCTTATTTTACTACAAAACATGTTGTTCTGATATAATTATAACTTATTTTAATATAATATACATTATATATTGCAATTAATATCTTAAAAATAAAGGTAATAATTTTATATTAATAAATTTATATAATATTACAATATTAAGAATAGCTGACGTACAAATTTTGAAGATTTTCGATAATAAATTATCGCATTTATCGTTGTCAACTAGAATGGATAGTTTTAAAAATACTATGCCGTTCTAGTGTTTGCAATTCCACGAGGATAGTAGCTATGGTATGCCTTAATTGATGAAACTTTGCCAAGGACAATTCAAATATTATACATTCTCCTGTATTGAAGATCCATTCCATGATAACGTTTGGTTCCAACACTCTATTTAATATGCTGCAGTAGAAAAAAATACACACATATATATATATATATATATATATATATATATATATATATATATATATATATATATATGTATTTATTGGTCTCACTCTAATAATTAAAGTATCTGTTTAAAGTTTAATTTCTTACTTGGAAGAAATAATAATATCCACACGCCATCTGCATGATATCAACTGTGGATTAAACTTAGTCCTTTGAATTAAACCTGATAGTAAATCAGACTGTTTTGGACCATAAATAACAGAAGATAAATCTTCTATACAATCTGGAGCTAATCTATAATATATAAAGGATGATATATGTATATCAAAATATTGCAATTCACATATAGAAAAATTTCATATAATCTTTATTGATAACATAATGAAGTCTGATACTTTTTGATTATATCGTTACATCATGATAGAGAGATAGAAAGAAATATAAATAAGGTGAAACATTTAATATATATACTTACTTTAATTCCTCCAAACATTGCTTGAACTCTGTAGGTTTAATAGTATGGCACTGCAAACGAAAATGTGTTTTCAAAATTGCAAGAATAGCAGCATAATATTCATCTATATCATCTTCAGGTATATTATATTTTTTGCTTATCCGCTCCAATATACCTTCTTCTATGTGTTCTAGCTTTATATCTCTTACTGCAACTGCAATTTTTGAGATCAATAACATACATATATATATTTGATATTTATATTTAATTAAATTTGTATCTAAGAACTAATCTGTTACTCACGTTGTATCAATGGGCGAGCAAATGTCTTCTTTAATTCCATTAAATATTTTGTCTTGTTTCCTAAAACGCTTAGAATTTGCGTTTGAAAAGAGGTTGCCATCTCTATTATATTGATGTTCAAATAAATTAAATGTCAATTGATTTCAATTGAATTTAACCTAAATATGAATAAATGTAAATTTTAATTAGAAACGTAAGATGAATTGGCGTTTGATTAATTTTTTTTCAAAAGTTTCTTTATTTTCTTAATATTTCAAGGTTTTTATTCCTCGTTAGCAAATAAAAACAAAAGTTTATTCACTCACTGTTCGGTTGTGCTACTGAGATTAAAAATTTTTCTAACTTATCGTTGAGTCATACTACTTAGACATTAAGGTGTCTCTAATGAGATTTTTCTGGACGCCGTTAGATGGCGTCACGAGATTGTTAAGTCCTGCTCTACAATAAGTTATGTAGGATTCATACTGCGTCCGATATCCAATAGAAAAACAGCTTTCTAATAGAGAATTCAATTTTCTATTGGAAAGCTATTTTTTTATTGGATATCGGAAGTCGTACGTCGGACATCGGACGCAATGTGAATCCTCCATTAAGTAATTAACCAATCTATTGACTCCTGATAACTTTTGTCGTATCGAAAATAAAAGAAAATCGTACTTGTCTTGCTTTTGTTTTGAATAAATATTATATAGTTTTTCGTAGAGTGAATTTTTGCCTTCGCAAGAGGAGAGCTAATAATAGAAATACTGCATTTTATGTGTGATAATATCTAGTTATTTAGTGGCTCGTGTGCGATCTAAAGTTACTATTTTGAAAACACTGTCGATGACAGCGCGCTCTAGTCGGTGGGACGATTTTTTGTACCCTTGAACTAGCATTTTTATTACACGGCTGATCTCCTTCTCGGTACATACACATACGTCATACGTAGGTTTATATAGGATATGTGTGTGTATGTGTATGTACACACAGCGTTTCCTACTAGGCGACAAATGTCTTTCGCGTAATCGGGACGTAGAACCGATTAGAGGTTCCTCGTTCCGCAACAAAACCCGCAAAAACTCGGCTGTTTCTCGCGCATCGTTTAACTTTCGTTCCACGTGCATACGACAGATATACATATATGTACACTGGCGCTCGAATAGATCGCGTATATACGTACGTATATTTTTATAAGCTTGGTCTTGGAATCGCGAAATGCTTTTACTCGCGATTGATTAACGCCACTGTCTACTTGCGCCCAGGGCTCGAATGCTAATTGTCTCGCGCATTTGGTAAGAGTGAAAAAAGTGGAGGATTAGAAATTTATTGATAAAGTGTTAGTGCGATTAACGTGAAAGAATCTTGTCACAATAGCCGTTGTGTTTTAACTCTCCAAAATGATATTCAATTTTGTGTGGGCTGTCTTCGCACATTCAGAATTATGAGAAAGAGCTTGAACATATTTCGTCCAAGATCTCGATGCCGTTTTGAGGAAGGAACGATTCAAAGAGTCGTACGTACGTTTGACATGGTTTACCGAATCCTGCATATAAGGTTTTACAGAAACCATAAATAAAACGTATGGATTGTATCATGAATGTAAGTATACATATAGTTAGTAACTTTTTTAATGTCATATTATCCTAAATTAAATTACTCACGGATCTCTTACTATAATTGTATAATATATGAATATGTATAATATTGTATGCCTCACAATGAATGACTTTGCATGCTCAAGGTACAACATTGTTCTTGCGGTATCAATGTTTGCTGTCATTTTAATTAAATCTGTTATATTTTCTATAATTTGTAGTAATTATGCAAATATGTTTCTCAATATGGTAGTTCTAAAGAAAATACAAAATTAGGTTGCGATAGCGATCAGCCGCTGTCTTGTTCCTTCTTTTGTGTAAACTATTTTCAGAATATTTTATTCTGCATTATTCTGGCACACATACACACAGTAGATGGCAATTTGATTATATAACTCATGTTCATGGATTATTGACCTGAAAGTTTGGTAAACTTGTTTTTGATGACATCTTTGGAGTGTAATTATACCTTTCTCTATCTATTTTTGGCTTTAAGTGTTGAGCAATATAAAACTGTCTTGACTGACAAGAAAGTTTTCTTTTTAGCTACACTTTCTTATATTTAACACATAAGATATACCATTTGCATTTAGGAAAAAAATTATGTGAAAAAATTTAGAAAATACAGCTAAAAAGTATAGTGTTGTATGACAAGATAATAGTACATGTTTTAACATATTTAACTCTTTCATTTGACAAATATGTTGTTTGAAAATAATTTAAATGTAAATAATAAACAAATGCTTTTACAAATTTTTTATTACTAATGATTAGCAGCATTTATAGCTTACTTTTATATAATAACAATGTATTGTGTGTGTATATATACTTTCATAAATATATTATTGAGATATATGTATATAAGTTTATAAAACTACTGTGTGCTATGTTTAATTGATTTTAAATTAATTATTTAGTAACTTTATGCAAAACTCCTGGAAATAATTTTCTACCATAATACCCTGAATTTTATTACATTTATTCCATTCTGCATTCTTATACCAGCTTGCAAAACAAAAAAAGATAAATGAGCCATAATTATATATATATATATATATATATATATATATATATATATATATATATATATATATATATATATATATATATATATATATAT